TTACATAAATCAGAATTTACAAAAATTTCTATCTAATATAATCATAAAACTATACTAAATCAAAACCGACCCTGCACCTTCCTAGAATCCAACATAACCTAAATTACATTTTCACCTTCCAGATACTAGAATAAGGAAAGGGCTTGGCCCCTACTGCACCAAAAATTTGACCATTGTGATCCTAATCGAACCATATTAGTAATAAGATCATGAGAAATAATACCTTCTATAGATGTTAGAAAGGAATATCCTGTGGTTTCAAATTGTGCACGCTTGTCTCGTTCACAAATATTGTGCATTTTTTCAAATTCATTAAAAAGTGAACACCGCCTTGTCCATATCATTTGAGAGTGATCGAAAACAAAGTGCATAAAATTGGAAAGGGCTGCAATTGTACTTTCTTTAGTTCCCAGAGTAGTAAGTATGAGATTGTAGAGGCTTGTCGGTACAACTCCTTTAATGATGTCGAAGAAGGAAAAATCTGTGAGAGCAGAAATTAACCATATGTTTGACTGATCGATATATTGTGGGAGGTCCTGGAGGTCCAGCAGTATTACAAGGTGTTGTTTAGACTGTTTAACCAGACAAGACAAATCGTTGTACACAGTAATATAATTCCAAATATGCGAGAAGTCCTCTGTTTCAATATTGCATCAGATACATTTCTATGATGAGTGATAAAGACTAGGATGTCGTTTCTTTAATACTTCCATGGTTGGCAGGATTTCAAGGAGACGATGAATCTTTTTTTGTTTGATAGCTGAGGCTTCATAACATGTTGCGCGTGAAGCAATATTATCAGTGATGCAACTAAGTGTAGCTAACCAGTGAACATCGGAGGAGCGATATTTTGAAATAATATCAAGGTTAAGGAAGGCTGCAAAAGTTTCCGCTCTTTTAATTTCTTTAATGAAGGGCCTAATCAGAGTAGCGACGGAGAGTCTATTGAAGAATAGATTGCAATGTTCATCATCATCGACGTTAATCTGAAGAGCTGATGAGGACAACGATTGTTTTGCAAGTGAATCTACTTTTTCGTTGAAAATGTCTCCTGAATGTGCTTTTATTTTGATCAGTGAGACAGTAAGATGCATCAATTTTATGACATTGAATACGCAATGCCAAAAGTGGGCGTTGGTTATCTTCAAAAATGGTCTTTGCGATGGTGAATAATTTAATAGATGTTTGTATTTGTTGAATTGTGCAATAACTACACTAGAATCTGTGAAAATATTAATTCGACATTGAGAAGGTGCAACGAGAACAGCCGTAAAAATAGCAGCCAGTTCAGCGATTGAGGAAGATGGGAACGATGTGGTGAAAGCTGATGAGTAGGAAATAATTGGTGCAGTAGGTGAAGTTTGAAGCCAGGCTAGACCCATTCTAATTGAAGGCATGCCTAAATTAACAAGTGAGCCGTCAGAATAAAATTCCAGATCCGAACAATGAATAAAGTGTGAACTTAAAGTTAATAATTGTGACGAATGAGAAGAAGGAATATATTTTTCTATAAGTGTAGGAGACGTTGAAAGGATGTTAGAAAGTGCGAGAGACGGCCTTAGTGTAGTATGTAATCATTTGTAGAACAAGTCAGCCAGGTCTTTTAATAGATCCATAAACCATGAGCAGAAGGGCCCAGACTCAGACCAACTATAGTTGACGGAAATGGTAAAACAAAGATTAAGTGGAAGATTAGTGAAGCAAGATTTGCGTAAAGTAGTAACAGCTGATGGCAGGACTGTATGTGGATTATGGAATGAACATCCATTGCATTCCTTCAGTAATGTTTTCCGTTGTTGATTATATGATAGAATAAAATGCTGTATAGTGGAAGAATTATCATCAGAATATCAAAGTTTTCCAATGAGTGGTTGGTTATTCTCCAAATTCCATCCTAAGATAAAAGATTGTTTGCCAGGAATCTTGTTTGGTTGAGCGAAATCAAAATAGCATTCCTTCACATGTGGAGCCCTTTGACATAGTTCAGCAGTAATAGGATTTAAGAGTACAGCCTGTAATTTCGTGAACCACATTGGAATTCTTCCTAAGTGTGGAGTGTTGTGATATGCTGAGAGGTCGGCAAACGTAAGCATTGATCGACCATGTGAATAAGAAAGTTGTTCAATGAAAAGTAACGAATATTTTCTCAGGTTAGCAGCAAACTCTCTGTATCTTTTGGGAAATACGTTGTGTAATGGAGTGTTTCCTCCTTTTATGAGGTTATGAGCAGTTACAGGTATTTGAACTGTGATTGTAGATTTATTCCATTCACACAGAACATTCACTACCCAATCTGAATCCTTAGAAGGGATACTGTAAGGCCAACATACTAATGGGCAGTTAGCTAACCATTCCCTTTGTTGAAGTTGTTTGAGTCTATGTTTCATAGATATACCCAAAAGATTAAAATCGTTGATGGCAAAAAGGAGGCCTTCGCTATGAGCGGCAATTAATCTGTTGTGTAGGTTGGTGAGATTATACAATAAATGTGAGTGTAAAATTACATGAGGTGTGGAACATGTTAATCGTAATTTTTGTTTCATAAATGCTCTGTACGGAGACACTATTTGGTGACATTGTTATTCGGTGAAGGTCGTTAATTGTGCTCTATACTCAATCCTCAGAACAATAACAGTATTAAATATATATGTGAGTTGCTTGTCGGTAAGCCGTTTTTTAAACATTATTGTAACAGCATTTTTAATTTCGCTTCTGACCAATTTATTTGTAAAAGTTTTATTACGCCCCAGTGATATCCAAACTCCCAAATATCTTGTAGATTCGTTGACCGAGAGCGGAGGAATAATTGTAGGAGTACCATTGATATTACATGTGAATGGATTATCAATGTCGTTACGGTTTGTGAGTAGGACCGATTTTTCCCAGTTCACTTTAATAGAATTGAGTTGGTAAAAGCTTTCTGCTATGTGTATGATGTGGTATAAATCCTCCCGTGATTTTGCAATCCACAATGTATCGTCCATGAATGCTAATGTTGATATTTTGATGGTGGTGGATTCTTTGGAGGTGGACAGAACGTTTGGCAACCATTCATGTGTAAGTGAATATCCATGCATTGAATCTTGAATTCTACATAGGAGGGGGTCATAATAAATACACTATAACAAGGGTGAAATAATTTCTCCTTGGTCTATACCTGACATCACCCGATATGTGTCAGTATTACCAAACATCGTAAAAATTTGGTTATAACGATTGCCAAACATTTTCAATATGAAATGAATAAAATTGAAGGGAATATGCAGTTGTTCTAACGCTCTGATCAGCATAAACAAATTTACATGATCGTATGCTTTGGACATATCTTGTAATAAGACCCATAGCTCACTTTTGTTGTGCATAGCATCGTATTTAATGTTATCAATAATGTGGAGGGGTTCGAAAGTAGATTTAAAAGGTAGACCCGCAAAATTGAGTTCTTTTAAAATGTTGTGTTTGACCATTATGGTGGAAAGCCGATGAGTGAGAAGTTTGATGAGTGCTTTACAAGAGCACTCGAGTAGCGTAATAGGTCATGTGTTATTCAAATCGTATTCCCATGGTTTGGGTTTCAGAATTGGATAAACGAACGCATGATTCCACCTATGTGGTAATGATGATATTTTGAGACATCCGCAAATTATGAACCATAAAAGTTTTCTGGAAAGAGGACCCAAATGTTTTAGCATTTCGTTTGAAACTTTGGAAGAATCTGCCGCTTTACCATCCGGTAATGAATTAATGATATTGTACCATTCAGCAGCTTCTGGGGAAGTCATTAACTCGTCATAAATAGAATTGTCAATACCATTAATAGGTCTATATGATGGGATCCATTCATCAGTAATTTCCACATTCTCATGAGATGTGCCAGCAGCCATTTGAAAATGACGAGCCACTTCTTTTTTGACTTGTGTTTCGTCCATAAGCAAGTCACGTGACGAGGAAGAGTTATTGATACATCTATCTAATAAGATTGTCTTCCTAGCTCTTTCCAATATAGAATCAGTCATTTTTGCTGGGGACGAAGTATAATTCTCAAGTCTTTTTTCAAGCGCTTGTTGAATTGATTTCAGTTTGTATTCGTGTTCATGAAGTTTAGATTTGACAAAAATGGCAGCTAAAATGTGATCAACATAGTACATGAGTGAACGTATTAAGGCGACCGTCGGGAGTGGTGGCAATCGAACAAAAGTAAACTGAAACTCTTTCATCATAGTGTAGAGCCGCTCCACATTTGGTGTCCAGTTATCATCAAGAGCATAATTTTGAGAAATTTTTTTAATTATTTTTTTAAATCTATATAGAAATTTCATGTTCTTATAAAGTTTAAGCAAAATATGTGAGCGCTTCATTTTATGGTGTCCTTTGGATTGTTTTGATGGTATGGTCTTATCGGCAGCTTTAATGATACATTCCTGCAATAAGTCCCAGTAGCGGTTCAACTTATTTTGATTAAAAGTAGTATTATTGTTTAGAGAGCGAAGAGAACATCCCATAGCCAGTGCATCTACTTTCTCGCTAAATTTACCCTACATATCTGTGGTCATTTTGTCTAAGTTGAATACTTTCTTCAAAGGAATCTTCCGTTTAGTTTGTTTGATATTGAGAAAATTTTCACATTTGAGAATTACAATTGAGTGATCTGATAAGTTGGAAGGAACATCTACCGTAGAACATTTAACCAGGTGTGAAGCGATATCTACTGAAGACCATACGTAATCAATACGCGAAACCGCATTATGAGAACAGAAAGTTGGATAATTCGCTCGAAGTCTATCAAATATTATCGTACAAGAATCAAAAAGATTCATGTTTTGGATCGTATTGAAAAATTTTTTATTGATTTTGGTGAGGTTGGGTTTATCTATATCTGCATTGAAGTCTCCTAAAAGAAGAATGTGAAAGTTATTTGATATAGCTGAACGTAAATTTTAAATAATTCAGTGTAGACTCGTTTTTTTGTGTCAATATCAGCTAGTGGTATATAACAATTAATAATTTTCAACTTTTGTTTTTTTGAAAATTGAAGGTCAGCTGAGATAATTCGATTGAGAAAAGAATCATGACGAAATACATGATTGGCTAGCTGAGGAGTCAGCAAAAGGCCGACACCAAAACCAGTAGTTTGCGTGTTATTGTGTGGCTGTTTACCAAAAAAACCAAAATATTGGTGCGCAAAGTTTAAATGAAAGTAAGAAAGGTTATTTTTGGAGAAGTTAGTTTTTTGTAGGCCTATTATGTCAATATTTAGTGAAGAATAGAATTCTACAAGAGCGTGTTGTTTTGCAGGATTTGTGAAGGAATGAACATTATGTGTTGCAAATGAAAGGGGTAGGAGAGTGGATATGTTATTATTAGGTAAATTAGATTGTGCAGCTTGTGCATCAGTATCGGTAGTGACAGTATTCATTGATAAAATTTATTAGGGGAGGTTTTTGGAGTACAACTCCATTTCTTGATCGTACTGTGTGCCTAGAGCAAAAATAATATTAGCTTGCTCTTTGGGGAGAAGGTCACGTTCAATCAAAATGGATTGAAATGAAGTACATGACTTGACCAAAGTGTTGACAATAGATGTGACAGATTTAAGGCGGTTGTTTTGCATCTGATTGATGGATCGGAGGTCCTCGATCGTTTTTTGTTGTTTAAAAATGAGCGATGCAGAGGTATCAATAGTGACTTCGATATCTTCCTCCATTTCATCGGCATTAAGATTTTTGCACTCCGCTTCAATCGGGGTGATTACCTTGACATTCAAGGCTTGTTCAAGCGATTCAACTCTTTTGACAGTAAATGCAAGAGTGGTTATGACGTCAATTAACGTTTTTTCTAAATTGGCGAATTGTGAGTAGATAAAGGTTTTCACGTCAACATTGGTATTATCATGCATTGAACCTCCAGCTTTCGTGCTATTAGCAAGATTGTCTACTTGTGACGGATAAATGAATTGATCAATAAGAATACTTTCTTCTTTACTATAAGGAACGTCATCTGACCAGGAAGATTTGGGCTCCTTGACCAACGAGTCTGAAGTTTTCTTATTGTTTGGGGTAACCTTGCCATGTTTTGGTGGAGGTGGAATGGGTGGGGTATAAACTTTACCATTTTGTTATTTGGTAGTATCAGCAAACGTGATATCGGGATTTACTGCGCCTCTCATCTTTTTCGGTGCTTTATAGTTAGAAAATTGGGCAGGTTGGAAACGCTGGTAAAGATTTTGAACACTACGATCAGCTGGTTGTTTTTTTCTTTTTGGGCAGTCGCTTGCTTTGTGATGAGGTGATGAACAAATCGCACAAAGTTTCGCATTCGCAGTAGTCCACGTCACGTGTTTACCATCGATCGTAAGATTTTCATTACTTATGGCCGCTTCAAAATCCTCAGCTGAGGAAAAGTAGAAGAAAGCATGTTTTAAATTATGGTAATTAGAACGTGCTTTAGGTATAACCCAAGCTAATGCGTTTACCATATGGCCGATATCCAAGAGTTGTTTCCCAGTAGTAAACCTAGGAAGGCCAGCCAGTTTTGCAGAAAATTTTGATTTCACAAGAATATCCTTTTTTGGCAAGTCACATCTGTGTATTCTGACCATATCATTTAGAACAAAGATTCCATAACATTCTGCAAGTTTCTTAAAATCTGTGTTGTCCGCAAATGTAATAGGAGCTTACTGCCACATGTTCTTTGTTTCCATATTGAATTTGACGATCGATCCAAATTTGGAAAAGACTGTTTTTATTTGGTGTACAGTAGTATCCAGGGGGATTTCTGTAACCTTGATCGATTGGGCTGGTATAAAAGGGTGTGACGGTGTAATTTCGAGTGCAGAAAACGTGTGATCTACCAAATCGGGTAATTGTACTGTGCATGCGTGATCTCTTTCTTCTTTGTTACGGAAGGAGATTTTAATTATTCGTTGTGATTGGTTCGTCGGGTGTTTTGCAGCAGTAGCTCCTATGAAAGAGTCATATTTGTCAAAAAAAAGGTCTACAACACGAGACGTTTTTTGTTGAGAAGAATTTCCAGGAAAATCTTCGAGAGGGAAAAAACTATGGAAAGTGGGTTTTGGGTGGTCGAAAGCCTGAGCAGACGTGTGTTTTTCATTTAACATATTTTCAGATGCGTCATAACTTTCATCAACGTCGAAAGGGGTATTGTTGGAAGTTTCTTCAGTTGTTTCAACTTCTTTTTCCTTCCCTTTTGGCAAAGGTGTTGGGTCAACATCCATGATAATGGGAGTTGTTGTTTCTGAAGTACTTTGTTCTGGAGCAGTTTCTTGAGTTCTGTTGGTATTTTGTTTTTTATTTTTGTTAGTTACAAGTGGAGACGCAGAGCGACCTCTTCGTTGGTTTTTAGTTTCTCCCTGTTTTTTAGGCATTTTTTGAATAGTAGCAGAGAGAGTCCGCAAAATAATTTTTTTTTTTTAAATTGCGGTAGATTCGCAAAAACTTTATTGATAGTAAAATAAAAAGATTACAAAAATCAGAATTTACAAAAATTTCTATCTAATATAATAAAAAAACTATACTAAATCAAAACTGACCCTGCACTTTCCTAGAATCCAATATAACCTAAATTACATTATCACTTTTCAGAGACTAGAATAAGGAAAGGGATTGGCCCCTACAGCACCAAAAATTTGTCCAATGTGATCCTAATTGAACCATGTTATTAATAAGATCAGAAGAAACAATAAGTTCTGTCGAAGTTGAAAAGGAATAGCCTGTAGCTTCGCAGTGTAAACGTTTATCCCGTTCGCTAATATTGTGTGATTTTTTGAAATCTTTTATGAGTGAGCATCGCCGTGTCCATATCAGTTGTGATTGTTCGAAAACAAAATGCATAAAATTCGAAAGAGCCGCAAATGTATAATCTTTGGTTCCCAAAATAGAAAGTATAAAGTTGTAGAGGCTTGTCGGAACAACACCTTTGATAATGTCGAAGAAGGAAAAATCTGTGAGAGAAGAGATTAACCAAATGTTTGACTGATCGATATGTCGTGGGATGGTTTGCAGGTCAAGCAAAGATGTAAGGTGTTGTTTAGCCTGTTTAACCAGATTAAATAAGTCGTTGTGCGCAGTGATACAGTTCCAAATATGTGGGAAGTCCTCAAATTCAATATTGCATCGGATGCATTTCCATGATGATTGATATAGAGTTGGATGTCATTTCTTTAATATTTCCAATGTTGGCAGGATTTCGAGTAGGCGATGAATCTTTTTTTGTTTGATAGCTGAAGCTTCATAACATGTTGCTCGTGAAGCAATATTATCATTGATGCAATTGAGCGTAGCCAACCAATGCACATTGGAGGAATGATATTTTGAAATAAGATCGAGGTTGAGAAAGGCTGCAAGAGTTTTCGCTCTTTTAATCTCTTTAATAAAGAGCCGAATCGGAGTGGCAATAGGAAGTTTATTGACTAATAATGTGTAGTGTTCATCATCATCCATATTGATATGAAGAGCTGAAGAGGACAGAGATTGTTTGGCAAGCGAATCAACTTTGTTGTTGAAAGTGTCTTCTGAATGTGCTTTCACTTTAATCAATGAGACCGTGAGATGCATCTTTTTTATGGTATTGAATATGCAATGCCAAAAGTGTGCATTGGTTATCTTCAAAAATGGTCTTTGCGATAGTGAGTATTTTAGAAGTGATTTATATTTGTTGAATTGTGTAATCACCACACTAGAGTCAGTGAAAATTTTAATACGACATTGGGAAGGCGCAACGAGAATCGCTGTGAAAATAGCAGCCAGTTCAGCAATTGATGAAGATGGGAAAGAAGCAGTGAAGGCTGTAGAATACGAAATAAATGGAGCGGTAGGCAACGTTTGGAGCCAGGCTAGACCCATTCTAATTGAAGGCTTTTCTAAATCAATAAGGGAGCCGTCAGAGTAGAATTCGAGATCAAGACAGTTTGTAAAATGTGAACTTAGAGTTAATAAATATGAAGAATGAGAAGAAGGAATATAATTTTCTAAAAGTGTGGGTGAGGTTATACGGATGTTAGGAAGTGCGAGAGGTGGTCTTAATGTAGTATGTAATTGTTGATAAAAAGAATCAGCCAGGTCTTTCAATAGATCTATCGATCATGAGCAGAAGGGTCCAGACTCAGTCCAACTATAATTGATAGGGATTGTAAAACAAAGATTAAGTGAAAGATCTGTGAAACATAAATTATGTGAAGTGTTAACATTTGAGGGTAGAATAGTATTTGGATTATGTATCTGATATCTATTACATTCATTCAAAATGGTCTTTCTATGTTGATTATGTGATGGGAGAAAGTGTTGTATAGTGGTAGAGTTGTTGTCAGAATGTCGAAGTTTCCCAATAATTGGTTGGTTATTGCCTAAATTCCAGCCTACTATAAAAGACTGTTTGCCAGCAATCTTGTTGGGAAGAACGAAATTAAAGAAATGTTCCTTCGAATGAGAAAAGTTTTGTCGTAATTCGCAAGTATTGGGGATCGAAAGCAATTCCTGTAACTTTGTGAACCACATAGGTATTCTTCCTATGTGCAGGGTATTCGAATAAACTGAGAGGTCCACAAAAGTAAGCATTGATCGACCATGTGAAAAAGTAAGTTGTTCCATAAAAAGTATTGAATATTTTTTGATATTTGCAGCAAATTCTTTGTAACAATCGGGAATCACTGTGTGTAAAGGGGTGTTCCCTCCTTTTATGAGGTTATGAGTATTTACAGGTATTTGAACTGTGATCGCCGATTTGTTCCATTCACATAGAACATTCGCTATCCAATCTGAATCCTTAAAAGGGTTACTATAAGGCTAACAAACTAATGGGAAGCTTGCTAATTATTCTTTTTGTTGGAGTTGTTTAATTCGATGTTTGGTAGTAATTCCCAAAAGATGATTGTCATTGATTGCGAAAAGTAGGCCTTCGCTGTGAACAGCAATTAGTCTGTAGTGAAGGTTGGTGAGATTATAAATTAGATATAAGTGTAAAATCACGTGGGTGTAGAACGCATAAAACGTAATTTCTTTTTCATAAAAGCTCTGTATGGCGAGACAAATTGATGACATTGTTGTTTGGTGAAAGTTGTCAGTTGTGCTCTATATTCAATCCTTGGCACAATGACAGTATTAAATATATAAGTAAGTTGTCTGTCAGTGAGTCGTTTTTTAAGCATTATTGTAATTGCGTTTTTAACTTCGCTTTTGATTAATTTATTAATGAAAGATTTGTTACGCTCTAGAGATATCCAAACACCCAAATATCTTGTAGATTCGTTGATTAAGAGCGGAGGAATAATTGTCGAGGTACCATGGATATTACATATAAATGGGTTGTTAATATCATTGCGATTTGTAAGTAAGACAGACTTTTCCCAGTTCACTTTGATAGAATTGAGTTGATAGAAACTATCTGCTATATGTATAATTTGATCCAAATCCTCCTTCAATTTTGCTATCCAAAGTGTATCGTCCATATATGCTAATGTTGCTATCTTGACTGTGGTAGATTCATTTATATTATTGAGAACGTTTGGCTTCCAAGTGTGTGTTAAAGAATAGCCGTGTACTGAGTTTTGGATCCTACAAAGCAGAGGGTCATAATAAATACACCAAAGCAACGGAGAAATAATTTCTTCTTGGTCAATTCCAGACATTACCCGATATGTGTCAGTGTTGCCGAACATAGTAAAAATTTGGTTATAACGATTTCTGAATATTTTCATAATAAAGCGGATAAAGCTGAAGGGGATATGCAGTCGTTCTAACGTTCTAACCAGCATGAACAAATTTACCCAGTCATATGCTTTCGACATATCTTGTAACAAGATCCAAAGCTCACTTTTGTTATGTGTAGCATCATATTTGATATTGTCAATAATATGGAGGGGTTCAAAAGTTGATTTAAAAGGTAAGCCAGCAAAGTTGAGTCCTTTTAAGATGTTATGTTCGACCATTATGGTAGAAAAGTGATGAGTTAGGAGTTTTATTATTCAAATCGTATTCCCACGGTTTGGGTTTTGGAATTGGATAAACAAAAGCATGATTCCACCGATGTGGTAAAGATGATAGTTTAAGGCAACCACAGATTATATACCATAATAGTTTTCTGGAAAGAGGACCTAAATGCTTTAACATCTCATTCGAGACTTTGGAAGGACTGGCAGCTTTACCGTCAGGTAACGAATCAATTATGTTGTACCATTCATCTCCTTCTGGAGGAGTCATGAGCTTGTTATATACAGAATTGTCAATACCATCAACTGGTCTGTATGATAGGATCCACTCCTCGGTAATTTCCACATGTTCGTGAGATGTACCAGCAGCCATTTGAAAATGACGAGCCACTTCATCTTTAACTTGTGTTTTATCCGTATGCAAATCACGTGACGAAGAAGAATTGTCGATACATCTATCTAACAATATAGTTTTTCTAGTTCTTTCCAATATGGAATCAGTCATTTTTACTGGAGATGAAGTATAATTTTCAAGCCTCTTCTCGAGCGCCTGTTGAATTGTCTTTAGTTTGTGTTTGTGTTCGTGGAGTTTGGATTTGATAAAGATGGCAGCTAGAATTTGATCAACATAAAGCATGAGCGATCGTACTAAAGTGACAGTCGGAAGTGGTGGTAATTGTACAAAAGAGAACTGAAATTCTTCCATAATAGTATAAAAACGCAAAGCATTTGGTGTCCAATTATCATCGATGATCAGTGTTCGACAAATAGTTTTGATAATTTTTTTAAATTTATATAAAAATCGCATATTCTTATAAAGTTTGAGCAATATGGGTGGTTGCTTCATTTCGTGGTGTCCTTTAGATTATCTTGATGGAATAACTTTATCGGCAGCTTTAATGATACATTTCTGTAACAAGTCCCAATAACAGTTCAGCTTGGTTTGATTAAAAGTAGTATTGTTGTTAAGAGATCTAAGAGCACAACCCTTAGCTAGAGCATCCGTTTTTTCGTTAAAGTTACTCCAAAGTTCTGTGATCATTTTGTCGAAGTTGAAGATTTTCTTAAAAGGTATCTTCCGTTTATTTTGTTTGATGTTAAGAAAATTTTCACATTTAAGAATAACAATTGAATGGTCTGATAAAGTGGAAGGAACATCAACCGTAGAACAGTTGTAGAGGTGAGAAGCAATATCTACTGTAGACCAGACATAATCAATGCGCGAAGTCGCATTATGAGATCGGAAGGTAGGATAATTAACTCGGAGTCTATCAAACATTATCGTGCAGGAGTCAAAAAGATTCATATTTAGAAGCGTATTGAAAAAATTTCTATTAATTCGAGCAAGGTTGGGTTTGTCAAAGTCGGCGTTAAAGTCACCCAACAAAAGGATTTGAAAGTTGTCAGACATTGCTGAACGTAATAATCTGAATAATTCGATATAAACCTATTTTTTCGTGTCGAGATCAGCAGGAGGTATATAACAGTTAATAATTCTTAATTTCTGCTTATTTGAAAATTGGAGGTCAGTTAATATAATTCAGTTTAGAAAATAATCATGACGAAAAACATGGTTGGCTAGTTGTGGCGTAAGCAAAAGGCCGACACCAAAACCAGTAGTTTGTGTGTAGTTGTGGGGTTGTAATCCAAAAAATCCAATAAATTTGTGAGCAAAATTCAAACGGAATGGGGATATATTATTTTTGGAAAAATTAGTTTCTTGAAGACCTATTACGTCAATATTTAGTGAAAAATAGTAATTAACAAGAGTGTGTTGTTTTGCAGAATTGGTAAAGGAATGAACGTTATGTGTTGCAAAAGAAAGGGATGGGAGAGTGAAAGTGTTATCAGTAAATATAGAAGTTTGTGCAGCTGGTGCATCATCAACGGTAGTGATAGTATTCATATTAGAAAATTATTGGGGGAGACTTTTGGAGTATACCTCCATTTCTTGATTGTACTGTGTGCCAAGAGCAAAGATGGTATTAGCATGCTCTTTGGGAAAAATGTCACGTTCAATCAAAATAGATTGGAAAGAAGTACACAATTTGACTAAAGTATTGACTATAGACGTTACAGATTTAAGTTGTTGATTTTGCATCTGATTAATGGATCGGAGATCCTCGATCGTTTTTTGTTGTTTGAAGATGAGTGATGCTGAGGTATCAATAGAGGCTTCAATATCCTCCTCCATTTCGTCAGCATTGAGATTTTTGCATTCTGCTTCGATCGGGGTGATCACCTTAACATTTAAGGCTTGTTCAATAGATTCAACTCTTTTGACAGTAAATGCGAGCGTGTGCATAATTTCCAATAATTTTCTTCGAGATTAGAGAATTGTGAGGAAATAAACGCCTTCACGTCATCATTAGTATTATCATGTATGGAACCTCCAGCTTTTGTATTCCTAGCAAGATTGTCCACATGTGATGGGTAAATGAATTGATCAATACGAAGGCTTTCTTCAGTATTAGGAGGAACATCATCTGACCAGGAAGATTTGGGCTCCTTGACCAACGAATCTGAAGTATTCTTTTTGTTTGGGATATCTTTGCCATGTTTTGGTTGAGGTGGATTGGGTGGAGAGGAACCTTTATCATTTTGTTTTTTTGTAGCATCAGCAAACGTGATATCGGGGTTTACTGCACCTCTCATTTTCTTTGGGGCTTTGTAGTTGGAAAATTGTGCCGGTTGAAAACGTTGATATAAATTTTGAACGTTTCGATCAGCGGGTTGTTTCCTTCTTTTGGGGCAATCGCTTGCTTTGTGGTGAGGTGACGAACAGATCGCACAAAGTTTCGTATTTGCAGCAGTCCACGTCACGTATTTTCTGTCGATCATAAGGTTCTCATTACTTAGAGCTGCTTCTACGTCATCAACTGAGGAAAAATAGAAGAAAGCGTGTTGTAGGTTATGATAGTTAGAACGTGCTTTGGGTATAATCCATGCTAAAGCGTTGACCATATGGCCAATATCTAAAAGTTGTTTCCCAGTAGTAAATCTAGGGAGGCCAGCCAGTTTCGCTGAGAATTTCGATTTGAGAAGGATATCCTTTTTAGGGAGGTCACATCTATGCATCCTGACCATATCATTGAGGACAAAGATTCCACGACAAGCTGCAAGTTTCTTAAAATCAGAGTTGTCCGCAAATGTAATTGTGGCTTGTTGCCACATATTTTTGGTTTCCATATTAAACTTGACGATCAATCCAAATTTGGAAAAGACTGTTTTAATTTGGTGTACAGTAGTATCCAGGGGGATTTCTGTAACCTTGATCGATTGGGTAGGTATAAAAGGGTGTGACGGTGTAATTTCGAGTGCAAAAAACGTGCGATCTACCAAATCGGGTAATTGTACTGTACATGCGTGATCTCTTTCTTCTTTGTTGCGGAAGGAGATTTTAATAATTCATTGTAATTGGTTCGTCGGGTGTTTTGCAGTAGTAGCTCCTGTGAAAGAGTCATATTTGTCAAAAAAAAGGTCTACAACACGAGACGTTTTTTGTTGAGAAGAGTTTCCAGGAAAATCTTCAAGAGGGAAGAAACCATGGAAAGTAGGTTTTGGGCGGTCGAAAGCCTGAGCAGACGTGTGTATTTCATTTAACATATTTTCAGACGCGTCATGACTTTCATCAACGTCGAAAGGAGTATTGTTGAAAGTTTCTTCAGTTGTTTCAACTTCTTTTTCCTTTCCTTTTGGCGAAGGTGTTGGGTCAACATCCATGATAACGGGAGTTGTTGTTTCTGAAGTACTTTGTTCTGGAGCAGTTTCTTGAGTTCTGTTGGTATTTTGTTTTTTATTTTTGTTAGTTACAAGTGGAGACGCAGAGCGACCTCTTCGTTGGTTTTTAGTTTCTCCCTGTTTTTTAGGCATTTTTTTGAATAGTAGCCTCGCAAAATAATTTTTTTTTTTTTTATTTTTTAACGTGCGGTAGCTTCGCAAAATCTTTATTAAATTGAAGAAAATTTTATACAAAATAAAAAACAAAACAGAAAATTTACGAAAACTTCTATCTAATATAAAACTATACTAAATCAAAGCTAACCTTGCACCGTCCCAGACTACTCTACCCAAAAATAAATTTAAATAGAATCAACCATCCAGTACAGGGGACCCGGTAACTACCTAGCCAAAAATCTGACCAATGCTTTCCGTATCTAAAGGAGGAGATAAAGGAAGGGGGAGGAATAAGATGAGAAGGAGAAGAGGAAGGAAATCCTGTAGTTATAAAGTTTTCTTTTTTGGAGGTAAGTGTAATGTTCATTTGTGATTCTAATTTCTGCATTATAGCATTTCTGTCATTCCAAATGGAGGAGGCTTGTTCAAAGACGTGATGATAAACCATTGATAGGAGGGAGAGAGTCATTTGTTTGTTGTTGAGAAACTCAAAGATACAATCATAGAAGTCTATAGGAACTAATCCTTTTATGATATCGATAAAACAGAAGTTAGAACTTTGGGGAATTAAGTTCCAAATAGAAGAAAGGCTAATACGTCTAAGTAGATCGTTAGTGATAGAATCCACGTCTTTAAGATCAACTAGTTGAGAGAACAGTAGTTGGCGTGTGGAATTAATAAGCGCACAAATACGATTGGAAGAGGAGGAACATAGCCAAATATGATTAAAATCTTCTTCTATAACAGAACAATAACAACAAAGCAAACTAGAATGATAGAGAGAAGGGTGTCGTGTTTTAAGGATTTCAAGTGTGGGAAGCATTTCTAAAAGAAATTTGTATTTTTGTTTTTTGAGACCGGAGTCTTGATATGAGGTTGACGAGGAAGAACCATTATCATTAAGGATAAAGGTGGATGCTAGCCAGTTGATAGCCATAATATTATAACGAGAAAATTGTGTAAGAAATAGAGTGTCATGAAATCGTATGGATTGAAAAAGGAGTTTGATGAAGTATTTGGGAGAGGTTAAAATTGGAAAATTGTGGAAAAAAATGGGGAAATCAGGACCATATGAAAAAGGATCGAAAGAGAGAATAGGAACATCCTGCTTTCCTCGCAAAATAATTTATTTTTTTTTTTTTTTTTTTTAAAGTGTGGTAGATTCGCAAAAACTTTATTGATAGTAAAATAAAAAAATTACATAAATCAGAATTTACAAAAATTTCTATCTAATATAATCATGAAACTATACTAAATCAAAACTGACCCTGCACTTTCCTAGAATCCAACATAACCTAAATTACATTATCACCTTCCAGAAGACTAGAAATAAGGAAAGGGCTTGGCCCCTACTACACCAAAAATTTGTCTATTGTGATCCTAAATGAACCATGTTATAGATGAGATCAGAGGAAACAATATGTTCTGAAGAAGTTAAAAAAGAATATCCTGTAGCTTCAAAGTGTAAACGCTTTTCCCGTTCGCGAATATTGTGTGATTTTTCAAAATCAGCAAATAATGAGCATCGCCTTGTCCAAATACTTTGAGATTGTTCGAAAACAAAGTGCATGAAATTTGAAAGTGCTGCTATTGTATTATCTTTTGTTCCCAAGACAGAAAGTATAAGATGGTAGAGGCTTGTCGGTACAACGCCTTTAATGATGTCGAAGAAAGAAAAATCGGTGAGTGAAGAGATTAACCATATGTTTGACTGGTCGATGTGCTGTGGGATGACTTGAATGTCCAAGAGTAACTTGAGGTGTTCTTTGGACTGTTTAACTAGTTCAGATAACTCTGTATGCACAGTGATACAATTCCAAATATGCGAAAAATCCTCAATTTCAATATTGCATCTGGTACATTTCCAAGATGGGTGATAAAAACTTGGATGACATTTCTTTAATACTTCCAATGTTGGCAGGATTTCAAGGAGACGATGAATTTTTTTTTGTGTGATAGCTGAGGCTTTATAGCACGTAGCTCGAGAAGCAATATTATCTGTGATGCACCGAAGGGTAGCGATCCAGTGGACATCAGAGGAGTGATATTTTGAAATAATGTCAAGGTTGAGAAAGGCTGCCAAAGTTTCCGCTCTCTTGATTTCTTTAATGAAAGGCCGGATTGGAGTAGCTATAGAGAGTTTATTGAAAAAAACTGAGCAATGCTCATCATCATCTATGTTGATTTGAAGGGCTGAAGTGGACAGAGATTGTTTTGCAAGCGAATCTACTTTGTCGTTGTAGGTGTCTCCTGAATGTGCTTTCACTTTGATCAGTAAGACAGTGAGGTGCATCTTTTTTATGGTATTGAATATGCAATGCCAGATGTGAACATTAGTTATCTTCAAAAATGGTCTTTGCGATGGAGAATAATTTAACAGAATCTTATATTTGTTGAACTGTGCAATAACTACACTAGAATCAGTAAATATTTTAATTCGACATTGGGAAGGAGCAACAAGAATCGCTGTAAAAATAGCAGCAAGCTCAGCAATAGAGGATGATGGAAAAGAAGTGGTGAAGGCTGATGAATAAGACATAATTGGTGCAGTAGGCGAAGTTTGAAGTCAGGCCAGACCCATTCTGATTGAAGGTTTTCCTAAATTAATAAGTGAGCCATCAGAATAGAATTCAAGGTCAGAACAATTTGTAAAGTGTAAACTTAAAGCTATTAAATGTGAAGAATGAGAGGAAGGAATATATTTTTCTATGAGTGTAGGTGAGGTTAGAAGAATGTTAGGAAGTGCAAGAGGTGGTCTTAGTGCAGTGTGTAATTGTTTGTAGAAGGAGTCAGCCAGGTCTTTTAATACATCCATTGACCATGGGCAGAAGGGCCCAGATTCAGACCAATTATAATTGACCGGAATAGTAAAACAAAGATTGACTGGAAGATTAGTGAAACATAAATTGCGTGAAGTATTAACACTGGAAGGTAAGATCATATGTGGATTATTGATTGGACATCCATTGCATTCTTTTAAAAGCGTCTTTCGTTGTTGATTATGAACTGGGATAAAGTGTTGTATCATGGTGGAAATATTATTAGACTGTCTAAGTTTTCCAATAATAGGTTGATTATTGCCTAAATTCCAACCTACGATGAAAGATTGTTTGCCAGGAATCTTGTTTGGCTGTGTGAAATCAAAATAACATTCTTTTAAATGTGGAACCTTTTGACGTAATTCGCCTGTGATGGGATTTGAAAGTAATCCTTGTAATTTTAAGAACCACGCTGGCAATTTTCCTATGTGTGGAGTGTTTCAGTATATTGACAGGTCAGCAAAAGTAAGCATAGAGCGACCATGTGAATAGGAAAGTTGTTCCAAGAATATTTTCTTAGATGAGCAGCAAATTCTTTGTACCGATCGGGAATTATTGTGTGTAGTGGAATATTCCCTCCTTTTATGAGGTTATGAGCATTTGTGGGTATTTGAACAGTGATTGCAGATTTGTTCCATTCACTTAAAATATTAGCTATCCAATCTGAATCTTTTAAAGGGGTGTTATAAGACCAACATAATAACGGAGAGGTAGCTAACCATTCTTTTTGTTGGAGCTGTTTGAGTCTATGTTTGGTAGAAATACCCAAAAGATTATTATCATTGATGGCGAATAGGAGACCTTCGCTATGTGCAGCAATTAAACGGTGATGTAAATTGTTAAGATTATACATTAGATGAAAGTGTAAAATTGCATGGGGTGTAAAACGCGTAAGTTGTAGTTTCTTTTTCATAAATACTCTGTATGGAGAAACAATTTGATGACATTGTTGTTCATTGAATGATGTTAATTGTACTCTGTATTCAATTCTAGGAACAAGGACAGTATTGAATATATATATGAGTTGTTTGTCAGTAAACCATTTTTTAAACATTATTGTGACAGCATTTTTAATTTCGCTTTTGATCATTTTATTGGCAAAGGTTTTGTTACGACCAAGTGATATCCAAACCCCCAAGTATCTAGTAGATTCGTTGAGTGAGAGGGGAGGAATTATAGTAGGTGTACCATTGATATTACATGTAAATGCGTTATCATTGTCGTTTCGATTTGTGAGCAAAACAGATTTTTCCCAGTTCACTTTAATTGAATTGAGTTGATAAAAGCTATCCGCTATGTGAATAATATGGTCCAAGTCCTCCTGTGATTTTGCGATCCATAAGGTATCGTTGATGAATGCTAATGTTGATAATTTGATAGTGGTGGATTCCTTGATATTGGTCATGACGTTTGGATTCCATGAATGTGTAAGTGAATAGCCGTGTTCAGAGTTTTGAATCCTACATAGTAAGGGGTCATAATAAATATACCATAACAATGGAGAAATAATTTCACCTTGGTCAATACCAGACATCACACGGTATGTATCAGTGTTACCGAACATAGTGAAAATTTAGTTGTAACGGCTTCCGAACATTTTCATAATGAAGCGAATAAAATTAAAAGGAACATGTAAGCGTTCTAACGCTCTTATCAGCATAAACAAATTGACCCGATCATATGCTTTGGACATATCTTGTAAAAGGATCCAAAGTTTATTTTTGTTGTGCATAGCATCATATTTGACGTTATCAATAATATGTAGGGGTTCAAATGTTGATTTAAAGGGTAGGCCTGCGAAATTGAGTCCTTTTAAGATGTTATGCTTGACCATTATAGTAGAAAGTCGACGATTAAGGAGTTTGATGAGTGCTTTACGAGGACACTCAAGCAGCGTAATAGGTCTTGTATTATTCAAATCGTATTCTCATGGCTTGGGTTTTGGAATTGGATAAATGAATGCATGGTTCCACCTATGTGGTAACGATGATGTTGTAAGGCAACCACAAATTATTAACCATAAAAGTTTTCTGGAAAAAGGACCCAAATGTTTTAACATTTCATTCGAAACTTTGGAAGGACCTGCCGCTTTACCATCAGGTAATGAATTAATGATGCTGTACCATTCATCCGCTTCAGGAGGAGTCATTAACTCGTTATAAATTGAATTGTCAATACCCTCTATTGGTCTATATGATGGGATCCACTCATCAGTAATTTCAACATGTTCATGAGACGTGCCAGCTGCCATCTAAAAATGACAAGCCACTTCATGTTTGACTTTGTTTTCGTCCGTAAGCAAATCACGTGACAGAGAAGAATTATCGATACATCTATCTAATAATATAGTTTTCCTAGACCTTTCCATAATTGAATCAGTCATTTTTGCTGGGGATGAAGCGTAATTTTCAAGTCTTTTTTCGAGTGCTTGTTGTATTGACTTCAGTTTGTATTCGTATTCGTGAAGTTTTGATTTGACAAAAATGGCAGCTAGAATTTGATCGACATAAATTGTGAGCGACTGAACTAGAGTAACAGTCAGAAGTAACGGTAATTGAACAAAAGGAAATTGGAACTCTTCTATAATAATATAAAATTGTTTCACATTGGGTGTCCAATAGTCATCAATAATACGAGTTTGACAAATTTTTTTGATGATTTTTTTAAATTTATATAAAATTCGCATATTCTTATAAATTTTAAGCAAGATAGGTGGTCGTTTCATTTCATGGTGTCCTTTAGATTGTTTTGAGGGTATGGTTTTATCGGCGGCTTTAATGATGCATTCCTGCAATAAGTCCCAGTAGCGGTTTAATTTAGTTTGATCGAATTTGGTGCGGTGGTTTAGAGATACTAGAGCACATCCCTTGGCCAGAGCATCCGTTTTATCGCTGAATTTACTCCAAAGTTCCAGAGTCATTTTGTCCAAATTGAAAATCTTTTTTTGGGTATCTTTCGTTTGTTTGATTTGATGTCAAGAAAGTTTTCACATTTGAGTATTACAATTGAGTGGTCGGATTGGATGGAAGGAACATCTACTGTAGCGCAAGTTAATAAGTAGGAAGCAATATCTACTGAAGACCAAACGTAATCAATACGCAAAGTCGCATTATGAGATTGAAAAGTTGGATAATTGACTCGTAATCTATCGAATATTAACGTGCATGTGTCAAAAAGATTCATATTTTGAATAGTATCGAAAAAATTTTTGTTAATTCTAGAAAGATTGGGTTTATCAAGGTCTGCATTAAAGTCCCCCAAAAGAAGAATGTGAAAATTGTCAGATATAGCTGAACGCAATATTTTGAATAATTCAGTATAGACACACTTTTTTGTGTCGATATCAGCTGGGGGTATATAACAATTAATAATTTTCAACTTTTGTCTGTTTGAAAATTGGAGGTCTGTGACAATAATACGGTTAAGAAAAGAATTGTGGCAAAAAACGTGATTGGTTAGTTGAGGAGTAAGCAAAAGGCCGACACCAAAACCAGTAGTTTGCGTTTGATTGTGTGTTTGAGTGCCAAAAAAACCAATGTATTTTTGAGCAAAATTTAAATAAAAAGGGGAAATATTGTTTTTAGAGAAATTAGTATCTTGTAGACCGATTACGTCAATATTTAAGGAAGAATAGAATTCTACAAGAGAGTGTTGTTTTGCAGGATTGGTAAAGGAACGAACATTGTGTGTTGCAAAAGAAAGGGATGGAAAAGAGGAATTATTATTATTAAGTAAATTAGATTGTGCAGCTAGTGCATCCATATCAGTAGTGACAGTATTCATATTAAAATTTTAATGGGAGAGGTTTTTGAAGTGTAACTCCATTTCCTGATCATATAAAGTGCCTAGGGCTAGAATGTTATTAGCTTGATCTTTGGGAAGAAGATCACGTTCAATCAACGTGGATTGGAATGAAGAGCAAGACTTGACCAAAGTATTGACAATAGATGTTACAGATTTGAGGCGTCGATTTTGCATCTCATTGATAAATCGAAGGTCCTCAATCGTTTTTTGTTGTTTGAAAACAAGTGATGCTGAAGTATCAATAGTGGCTTCGATATCCTCGTCCATTTCATCAGCATTAATATTTTTGCACTCTCCTTCAATTGGGGTGATCACCCTGACATTCAAGGCTTGTTCAATTGACTCAACTCTTTTCACAGTAAAGGCAAGTGTTTTCATGAGGTCAAGTAGATTCGCTTCAAAATTAGCGAATTGTGAGGAAATGAAAGCTTTTACGTCATCGTTAGTGTTACCATACATGGAACCACCAGCTTTCGTGCCTTTGGCAAGATTATCATCATTTGAAGGGTAAATGAATTGGTCGATACGTAGGTTTTCTTCAGTATCGTATGGAACATCATCTGACCATGAAGATTTTGGTTCCTTAATATGTGAGGATGAAGATTTATTGTTAATAGGGAGATCTTTGCCCTGTTTCGGTGAAAATTGTGAAGGTGGAGTGAAATCTTTATTATTTTGTTTTTTGGTAGCATCAACAAATGTGATATCCGGGTTCACTGCGCCTCTCATCTTTTTTGGTGCTTTGTATTTCAAAAATTGGGCCGGTTGGAAACGCTGATATAAATTTTGAATGTTACGATCAGCTGGTTGTTTCCTCCTTTTTGGGCAGTCGCTTGCTTTGTGTTGAGGTGACGAACAGATTGCACAAAGTTTCGTATTGGCAGAAGTCTATGTCACGTGTTTACCATCGATCGTAAGGTTTTCGTTACTCAAAGCTGCTTCAACATCATCGGCTGAGGAAAAATAGAAAAAGGCATGCTGCAAGTTATGATAGTTGGAACGTGCTTTAGGTATAATCCAGGCTAAAGCGTTGACCATATGGCCAATGTCCAAGAGTTGTTTCCCCGTAGTGAACCTAGGGAGACCTGCCAGTTTCACTGAAAATTTTGATTTAGCAAGGATATCCTTTTTTGGTAGGTCACATTGATGTACTCTGACCATGTCATTTAAAACAAAGACGCCATTGCATGCTGCGAGTTTCTTGAAATCAGTGTTTTCCGCAAAAGTAATCGTGGCTTGCTGCCACATGTTTTTCATTTCCATATTAAATTTGATGATCGTTCTATATTTAGAAAAGACCGTTTTGATTTGGTGTACAGTGGCGTCAAGGGGGATTTCTGTAACCTTGATTGATTGGGTGGGAATGAACGGGTGTGATGAAGTAATATCGAGTGGAAGAAACGTGCGATTTTCCACTTTAGGTAATTGTACTGTGCAGGCGTGATCTTTTCTTCTTTGTTGCGAAAAGAAATTTTGATAATCCGTTGTAATTGGTTCGTCGGGTGTTTTGTAATTGAAGCGCTGGTAAAGGAGTCATATTTGTCAAAAAAAAGGTCTACAACACAAGACTTTTTTTGTTGGGGAGAGGTTTCTGGAAAGTCCTCGAGTGGAAAAAATCCATGAAACGTAGGTTTTGGGCGGTCGAAAGCTTGGGCAGAAGTATATTTTTCATTTAGCATATTTTCTGACACGTCATTACTTTCGTCAACGTTGAAAGTAGTAGTAGTTAAAGTTTCAGTTGTTTCTTCAACTTCTTTTTCCTTCCCTTTTGGCGAAGATGATGGGTCAACATCTATGATAACGGGAGTTGTTATTTCTGAAGTGCTTTGCTCTGGAGCAAGCTCGAGAGTTCTGTTGGTATTTTGTCTTTTGGATTTAATTGTTACAAGTGGAGACGCAGAGCGACCTCTTCGTTGGTTTTTATTTTCTCCCTATTTTTAGGCATTTTTTGAATAGTAGCAGAGAGAGTCCTCGCAAAATAATTTATTTTTTTTTTTTTTTTTTTTATTTCAGTACGTAGTGTTAGATGAGGTCAAAGACAGGGTCTCAAGTACCCATATGTCGAGCTCACCCAAGGTCTCCGCCGGTCAATGCCATTGGCAACCTCCACCATAGTAA